TGTTCTTTGGACTTTAATAAGCCCTTACTCATCTGGACTCCATTTCTTCTTGCCTTCTGTAGTTTGCCCTTCTGTTACTGACCCTTTCCAGCTGGACCCCAGCAAGGGTCCTCCTGCCTGGTGTCCTTCCAGCCAATAGAACAGGACTGAGTTGAGCGCAGGAGCAAAGGAAAGTTTTATTCTCTGATCAGGGAATGAAGAGGTGGAGCTCCCACTCTAGAGCACATGCTCTGGGGGCACAGGTGTGCTGCTTAGGCTTCATATCACAGCGCCAGGTGCGGTGTCTCTGCACATGCCCCAAGACAAGGTGCTCAGCATAACTGGCACAGCCATTTTACACTAGGAAACTCTGCTCTGAAGTGCCTGGGGCAAGGCTTCTGTGGGGGGCACCCACCATGAGAAGTGTAACGAGATGAAGTTCAAAGGGGAAAAAAAGGTTCGATTTTATTACCCAGATCCTTCTTTTATTTCTTGGAAATTTTTAGTGGGCTTTGCCAGCGACACTTCCTGTTTTCAACTCTCAACTGTTAGTATCCACAGTGTTCCTTCCTCGGTCACCTGCACCTCTGATTCTCTTTACCTGCCCCATAGGGAGCTCATCCACAAGAGTTCTATTTCCACAAAATACCTGAGTTGAACATCCTTAGCTCAGACCTATCCTGTAAGCTTCAGATTTTAATAGCCAACTGATTTCTGGACGTGTCCATCTGTGTCTCACAGGAACCTAAAGCTAATCGTGATCAAAACTGAATTAAGTGCTCTGTGACAACCTAGAGGGGTAGGAGATTGAAGGGAGTTCCAGAGGGTAAAGTGGGAAGGAAGCACAGGAGGAAGGGGATATATGTGTACCTGTGACTAATTTGTGTTGACATATGACAGAAACCAATACAATATTATAAAGCAGTTACCTTCCAATTAAAAATAAATAAATTTTTAAAATCCAGTCCCTTTCATAGATCTACTCCTACCTCCATATTCTGCACCTCCATAGTTGTCAGTACCATGTGCTGTGTAACTGGGGGACATGCATCTTATAAAGGTCTCCTGAATCCAGCTTCTCTTTATTTCTCATTATTTCTTTATTACTAGTCCTAACAAACTTTCCTGGCTTCTTCTTTTCCTTTTTCAAAAAGAACATTGGCACTGGTAGTAAAGAACCTGCCTGCCAATGTGGAAGATGTAAGAGACGTGGGTTTGATCCCTGGGTCAGGAAGATCCCCTGGAGGAGGGCATGGCAACCCACTCCAGTATTCTTGCCTGGAGAATCCATGGACAGAGGAGGCTGTTGGGCTATTGTCCATAGGGTTGCACAGAGTCGGACACTACTGAAGTGACTTAGCATGCATGCAGAGTGATAAATATAAAATATCACTTCCTCTTAGAAAACCTTTAGTGATGCTCCTTGACCCATAAGATAAATTCCTATCTCGCTAACAAAAGGTGAGGCCTTGACAGACCCTACGCTCTTCTGTTAGCCTCATTTTCTGCTGCTTTCACTAGTTACTGCATCTTAAACTTGACAACTAAGTAAAGCAAACTGCCTGTGGTTCCCCTGCATACATCATGCTGTTTCTCACCACTCTGATTTTGGTTAAAATATGCTTCATCTCCTTTCCTCTCCTTTCTTCTGACCAGTTCCTTCTCATCTCAGCCTCAGGAATCCATGTCTGGTTTCCCTTGATACTAAAGCATTATAGACCCCTCCTTCTTTGTATTCCCATAATGTCATGGAATTGCTCTTTACATGTTTGCTCAAGAAATAGACCATGGGTTCGTTCCTTGAAGGCAGAGATCATAGCACACATTATGTTTCTAGTGAAGTACCTGAACTTAGAAGCTGTTTAATAAACACTTATAAAATTAAGGGATAACTAAATTATGAAAGTGTTATATCTTTATTCTTGTCCTTTTTTCCATAGGGTGTCACTGTGTGGCAGGGGCAGTTGTTTAGTTGCTAAGTTGTGTCTGACTCTTTTTAGCAGTCACTCAATATTCCTTGAATTCTTCCCACGCTCCACAGCCTTCCCTAAACTTAGGTCCAGGCTGTATAACCAGTTCTAGACAATGAGCTATAAGAAGACGTGATTAAGTGTCACTTCCAGCCTGAGATCTGTAGGGCAGTGGCTAGTTTTCCATACTCCCACTCCCCCCTTTGACTCTTCTGAAAGTCTTGCTTTGGTGGTAACACAAGACTGGTTGGTGGGGGGCAGAAACCCACAGTGAACATGAAGTAAGAGTATGTAATCCTCTTTGTTAAGCCACTGAGATTTCAGGATTAATTTGTTACCACAGCACAGCTAGACTTCCTGAATAATGCTCATTGTTTCAAGTTTATACACTAGCCTCTGTCTTATTCCATAAACTTGCATTGAACTTAGGTTATGCAACTTTTTCTCTTCCCCTAAAGTCCGCATGATGCCTGAGCTTAGAAAAGTTATGACATATGACTGATATAGAGACAGAGTTTTCCAATAGAATAGTTCACTCCCTGTTCCCCATGAGCTAAGCAATAGTGGGAATATTTTCCTATACAAAAATCCACCCCCCACCTTCCTCATGTAGTCCTAACTATTTTCCAAGATGAAACTTCTCTCAGGAATAGCACCATGTTCCATTGCATTTGCAGGCTAAAGGCATCAGAAACTTATCTCCAAAGTAGTCCAGAAGTCTCTGAAGTGTATTGTACTGACCCATAGTTATCAATAGTCCAGTAGTAACATTGATATCATTCCATTCTTTTCCACTGGATATCCTGTCAAATATACTAGCTTTCCTCATTAGGTCTCAAATTTTACTGAACTATGGTTGTATCTTATTTCAGTGATAATTTTTTTAGTTGGAGACAAAAAAAAAAAATCTGACTTAAGGTGATGGCTCAGAACGGTAAAGAATCTGCCTGCAATGCAGGAGACTGGGAATCAATCCCCAGGTCAGGAAAATCCCTTGGAGAAGGGAATGACAACCCTCTCCAGCATTCTTGCCTGGAGAACTCCATGGACAAAGGAGCTTGGTGGGCTGTAGTCCATGGAGTCACAAAGAGTCGGACACAACTGAGTGACTAACTAGGCGTGGCTTAATTCTAAGCTTAAATGATGCCATCAGGATCCATCTTTTAATTCAAACAGGCTCTCCTCCTTACCTCATGCCTGAAGCCCCCAGAACTGTACCCTTCCAGTATCAGATCCAGCAGACAAGAACAAGAGTCTTTTCCCCAAGTCCCAGTCAGAGACGTCTTCCCTGGTGGCTCAGCGGTAAAGACATCCGCCTGCCAATTCAGGCGACGTGGGTTCAATTCCTGGGTCAGGAAGATCCCCAGGAAAAGGAAATGGCAACCCTCCAGTATTCTTACCTGGAGAATTACATGGACAGAGCAGCCTGGCAGACTACAGTCCTTGGGACCGCAAAAGAGTCGAATACAGCTCAGTGACTAAACAAGGACAAAACCCAGTCAGAGAATCATTGCTTCTCATCTGCTCTGGATGGATCCTTGAGCCAAACCCTGTGGGCAGGTGAATATAATGCAGTAATTAGTTTAGGCCATTGTCAATTCCCTGGAGTGGTAAAAAAAAAAAAGAAAAGAAAAAGGAATCAACTTCACGGGAAGCAGGTGGCCTTAGAGTGGGAACAGGGGAGATAATTTCTGGAAAGAAATCAGGAAGAGGTCATTATAAATCAAGAAATGATGCTGGCAGCAAGAGCAACCTACCCTCTGAATAGCTTGCTTCCTAGGAGAAGGAAGTGGCACCCCACTCCAGTACCCTTGCCTGGAAAAATCCTATGGATGGCGGAACCTGGTAGGCTGCAGTCCATGGGGTCGCTAAGAGTCAGACATAATTGAGAGACTTCACTTTCACTTTTCACTTTCATGCATTGGAGAAGGAAATGGCAACCCACTCCTGTGTTCTTGCCTGGAGAATCCCAAGAATGGGGTAGTCTGGTGGGCTGCCGTCTGTGGGGTCGCACAGAATCGGATATGACTGAAGCGACTTAGCAGCAGCAGCAGCAGGAGGAGATAGAATTTAGAGACAGCTTCTAATTTTGGAATTAAAGTATTTATTATGCACAGTATGTTACCCCTTGATCATATTCTGTCTGTTTTTTTCTCTGAACTTCTCTACATTATTCTTTTCTCCCGTGTGATGCCTTGTGTTTTTGTTATTTATATTCATTGATTTCCCCAATTAGCTCATCAGCTACTTCGAGGCAGGGACTAGCTTTGAATAATTGTGGATCCTGCATTGTATGTTTTGCACTGTAGGCCTCCCCATTATTCAACAAATAATTTTTTGTTGAGTAAATGAAAAGATAAGAAATGAGTGGGTCTTATACTATTATTGTGTGTGTCTGTGTGTCTTCTTTCACTCACTTGTGTCAAACTCCTTGCAACTCCATGGACTGTAGCCCACCAGGCTCCTCTGTCCATGAAATTTCCAGGCAAGAAGACTGGAGCGGGTTGCCACTTCCTTCTCCAGGGGCTCTTCCTGACTCAGGGTGTCTCCTGCATTGGCAGGCAGATTCTTTATTATTGTTCCACTTGGGAAGCTCCTATACTGTTATTACATCATGGAGCAGAGGATGTTTGTGTGTGTGGTGTTATGATAAAAACCTACTATTTACCAAGTACCATGGCAAACAATGAGGATCTGAGGACACAGGGATTAGAAACTGAATATTACTCTGCCCTTCCAAAAATTATACTCTAGTGAAGAAGACAGAGATTGATAAATACTGCAGAAATAGTTACTGCATGTTAAGGGAGAATAATAGATTTTAACTCTTATTATTCTTGTTCTAATGGTTTCCACATCAGTTATAGGTTGGCTACCTCAGGGAATACCAGTTTTGCTAGAAGAGATCTGTTAAACTTGGAATTTCTTAGAGGATTCACACTGGATTCCCAAATAAAGTTTCAAATCCAATAAATTACATCTTTTACTGTGATAAGAAAAGACTAATTTAGTTTTCTTCTCCTCTCTCTTTTCTCCCTACTTCTCCCCCAGCCTGAAGTTCTGGATCAAATACAAAATCTAAGGGAGTTGTGGATGGATAATAATGCATTGCAAGTTCTACCTGGGGTATGTAAGTTTTTATTATGCCATGTCGTCTAGCATCTCCATTGTATATTCATTGTAACTGATAACGGTTAATCTTACATCTTAAACCTCAGTGTTTTCATTTCAAAGTTAAACATTTGATAATAGTATTCCATCAAGTGTTTTTCACTAGTTTGATTTTTAATATTGAGTGTTACGAGTGTTATGTGTGTTATAGGTGAGTAAAATGAGCATGTAACATATATGAAAGATTTTTCTCATACTCTTAGAAGTACATTTCATCTTTCTGTATTTACTGTTTTTCAAATCTGAACAAATTTATATTGTTATATGAAAAAAATGCTATACATAATACCAAGTCTTAGTTTTACAAAATCAATTTTCTTCTTATAGGTAATTAGGTAATGGTTTCTGCTCATATTGTTTGAGCTCTTCCACAAGATAAAAATTTCTCTCAGTTCAGGTGATTTCCAGTAGATCTATTTGATTTTTTGAAAAATGCAAGGAACATAACTTGTTAAAAATAGGAAGTTAGAGTCAAATTATCTTTCTCTAACAGAAAATTCAGTAATCTCTCCTGGATCATAGGTGTACTAGTCAACTCACTGAGTGTGACCGTTCATTTTCCATCCAGTGAAAGAATGGCTTTCTGTATAGCACTGTCTTGCCACTCATGACACGTGCACTCAGGAATAAGCATGTACACACATACACAGGGCTTCCCAAGTGGCAAAATGGTAAAGACTCTACCTGCAGTGCAGGAGACATGGGTTCAGTCTCTGGGTCGGGAAGGTCCCCTGGAGGAGGAAATGACAACCCACTCCAGTATTCTTGCCTGGAAAATCCCACGGACAGAGGAGCCTGATGGGCTACAGTCCATGAGGTCACAAAAGAGTTGGACACAACTTAGCAACTAAACAACGCACACACAAAACAACTAGAAGGCTCTCAGTGGTGAAAGCCACTCTAAACTCCTTACATGGGGTTAAGTAGCCAGGGCAGTTGGTTGTGGAATAATTCTTCAACCACTGAGATATTTAAATGTGTGTTCCGAAAGCCAGACTTGATCCTTTGTTTGAATTGACATTAAACATTTCTTAAAATGATTGCAAAAGCAAGAAGAGGAAGCTGTTCTCTTTTGAATAAGCATGGGACCACATAAAGAAGAAAATCTGACAAAAGATTAGGGAAAATATACTTTTTTCTCTCACCAAAAGAATACATTTCTGCTATCCTCACAGATACAAAAGAGAAAAGCATGCATATTTTCTGTTTATTGATTTATTAAAAACCGTATACAAATATACCTCTATGAATTAGAAATCATGCTCATGTCAGAGTTACAAAAATAATATATTCAATGACCTTGAACATATTTATTTGAGGGGTTTGCATATAACAGAAGGGACAAATCTATATTCTACTACACATAGCCATATTCAAGGTGTATATCAGTTCAGTTCAGTTTAGTCACTCAGTCGTGTCCCACTCTCTGTGACCCCAAGGACTGCAGCACACCAGGCTTCCCTGTCAATCACCAACGCCCGGAGCCTACTCAAACTCATGTCCATCACGTTGGTGGAAATCAGAATGCTAGTGGGAGAAGTTTATACCTGCAGTGTATTTATTTATTAAAAACTATTTACATAGTATTTATCAGGGGCTAGGCACTATCTAGATATTTTACAAGTGACTCACCAAATTCTCAGAACAACCCTGTGAAGCAGAATTTATTACCAACCCCATGTTATAGATGAGGAAACTGAAACAGAAACAGTATGTAACTGGGCCGAGGTCACACAGTCAGTAAATGGTGGACCTGTGGTTCAAACCAGCGTCAGAGGCTCTTGCTCACTCTGATGCTCCAAATGCTATTGCTATGGGAATCAGCAGAAGGTATGAATGAGAATTGGGCTTATCCTACTTTTCACACTTGTTCTGTTCCCAAAATCCAATCTTGCATATGAATTCCATGGTGGTGGTTTAGTCACTAAGTTGTGTCCAACTCTTGCAATCCAATGGACTGTAGCCCACCAAGCTCCTCTGTCCATGGGATTCTCCATGCAAGAATACTGGAGTGGGTTGCCATTTCCTTCTCCAGGGGATTTTCCTGACCCAGGAATCGAACCCGGATCTCCTGCATTGCAGGCAGATGATTTACCAACTGAATTATGAGGAAAGCCTGATGAACTCCATAGTCAATGTATTATTTAAATGGAAAGATAGTGATTAAATCATCTCTAAAACAGATAATGCTATCTAATTTGTCTTTTACAAAGTAGTTTTTTCTTATATACTGCCATCTTTAAGTGGGTTTCTTGCTTTACTTAGTACACTTGAATTCCAAATTTTGTGACACTCCTTATGGGAATACTTATGGGATACTCCTACACCTCCCACCCTTAAACAGGTGTGGTGTTTGGAATGCCTAAGGCTGGCAAAGAGTTGTTAGACAATTACCTAGAAACATTTGGCCGTGAAAGTCTAAGCTTGAATGCAGTCTTCAGCCCATGTCTATCAGTTTCACAGAAGGATTAATTCTAAATATTTAGTGTCATTAGATACAGGAGAAAAAAGCACATTCCTTTTGTTTTTATTTCACATACCATAATACATTAAGCTAGTATATTTTTAAATACTTTTAGAAGCTTGGATTATCATTTTTCCACTTTACTTTTCACAAATCAGAGAAGCAAATAAATAATGATCAAAAATTTGTTTGCTACATAGCTCTGTCTTACAACCATCACTCTAAGATCAATCAATAAAAATATAATTGAACAGCAAACTCCAATATCTCCTTTTGCTTGTACTGGCTTCCCCTTTTTTAATTTGTTGCCCTCTGCTCATCTGTAGATCCCTCTATGTCCGGATGTTGGAGTAACATTTAATATCCTCAAGAACTCTGAGTCATTGGGCTACAAAGGCCTTTATCACTCCAGGCTATTATTGCCTTTATAAGGTGCTTCAAAGTGAGGGTTTAGAAAGACTCAAAAATAAACACTGAAGTGTTATTTTGCTTCCAAAAAAAGATGTTTAGAAACTTCACACAAACATATTGAGTTGTGCTGCAGATAGCAATTTGGGAAGCTTCAAAGAGAAAAGAAATTTTCTCATGATAAAGGAACAAAAAAAAAAGAAATCCTCACACACACACAGACAAACATAAACACATAGGTTATTCTTTGTGTGCTCATCAGAAGAGATGAGCTAAGTTAGCATAATAGTTCCTTGGGGTGGAGAGCTCTAAGAAGTGTGACAGTATTTTTCCAAGTGACGTGTTTCTAAGCATGAGAAGAAACTCAGCCCTCTGGCCTGGTTGATCCAGAGTACCCAGTTCCTAGCCTAGAAACTATTCACCTACCCTGACTGTGTTCACACTCTCTGCCTACAAGGAGAGCGGAAGAAGCAGGGCTAGAGATATGAGCTGGGTTAATAAGCGATTTAGAGGTCAGGAACTGCTAATCTAATCAATAGGCTTTGTAGTCTATAATCTGATAAAATTGAGTTTGAAGTTTTAGCTCCACTCCTTATTAATGGACCAATGTTGGAATGTTATTTGTGGTGGATCCTGTCATGTGTCATCCTCCTGGAATGAAGAGCTCATTCTATTCCCTCAACCTCTGGGAATACTGCTTGCAAGTCTCCACCCTCTTCAGGACTTTCCTCAGCTGAAGAGAACTTTCTCATGTAGGGTTATAACTGTATTCCAGGAGACCACCAATTCAGTGATCAATCTGTGCAACAGTGTGACACTCTGGTCCCTTCACTGCTGCTCAAGACAACCGCAGTACTACTTGAAGAGTCAGCTGAGTAATTCCTCAGAACCATCACAGACTACCTTCACCTGCCCAGTCCTTCTTCCTTCCTTCCTTCTTTCTTTTCACTGGCATTAGTCCCAAGAATCTCTCTCAAAAATTTCTCTTTGTCTCCCTTTCTCGGAGAACCCAGTGTGTGATATTACTTAACCTCTAAGCTTTAGTGTGTGTTAGAGTGCAGATTCCAATTCAGTGGGTCTGGAGTTGATCTCGATGACACATTTCTGACAAACTCCCAGGTGGTGCTGATACGGCTCTTGCGTAAAACACATTCTAAGCAACAAGAACATAAAGTATTACATCACGTAATATGTATAAGGTACTTAGCACAGTGCCAAGTATGTGCTTGTGCAATTAATTTGTTGATGTAGTGTTTATTTGCTTATACTCTGTCAAATAAGTAGACAGTATAGCAAAGTGTTACAGGTAGACAAACAAGCAGATGAACCATTGAACACAGATATGTGTAGGACATTTATTTGCAAAACGTGCCCTTAAAGGAAAGGAAAATGAAGAATTTCATCTTGCTCTAAGTCCCGTAATTCATGTCCAAGCTAGATAGCCATTGTTCATCCCTTGCCCACCATATAATCTGACTCCACCCCTGTCCTCAGAAATCAGTTATTAATTCAGTCATTCCACTTCTAAATTTTTCTTGAGCCATCCCCACTTCATCCTCACTTCTGCTGCCTTAACTCAGGTCCCTTTCATCTCGTTAGCTAAACAGCTTCCAGATCCTTCTGATCCTTTCAGTTCCACTCTAACTCTAGTCATGAATCTTCCCTTCACATTTCCCTGAGATTATTATTTCAAAACACACGTCTAATAAGGTTGTTCACCATCTTAAAAGCCTTGAATAGCTCTCCTTGCCAATAAGATAGAGTTCAAATAACCCTTACCTTAAAGGTAAGGCTTTTAAACAGATGACTTCTAATGCTTAACTTCATCACTATATTCAGTAACTTTGAATTTCCCACTCTTCTTCAAACTCACTCCCTTTTTCACACTTCTCTTCCCTATTCTGTCTTCCAGGTACAAGTTCTCTTTTTCTGGACAAGCAGTGCCTTCCAGGCAATTTGCGGCCTTGTGCTTCTATGGCATTTTTTTATTGCACATATCATAAGGTTTTATAATTATTTGCTTATTGGACAGTTTCCTTCACTGTATGAACACCTTAAAGATAAAGACTTTGTATCATGACAAGTCTCTCCCCATACTTAGCTAAGATATTTATGATTGTTCTCTAGTATATAATACAAGCCTTGGTATATAGTAGATCCTCAAAAAGGAGTGTTGAATGAACAAAATATTGATTCTGCTTAGTAGGGTAAAGTTCAAATCATGATTTAATACCTTTCTCATGCATTTGAAATTGTAAGAATCATTATGTCAGCATATGTTGTTTGGGTGACAACTTTCTCTTCCATCCTTCCTTCCTTTTTTTTTTTCTATATTCATTTAAGTCTTTGGCAACTTTGAGATTGTTGTTGTTACCTTTTAACACATCTATGTTGTAAGATATATTCCCATATCATAAAATTCATCTATTTGAAGTATATAGTTCGATGGTTTTTAGAATACTGACCTAATTGAACAAACATCACCATAATCTAATTTTATAACATTTCCATTACCACTGAAAGAAATCCTGAAAGCCATTAGCAGTTATTTCCTTCCCCCTGACCTCCCAGCCTCTAGCAACCCTAGTCTACTTTCTAATTCCATAGATTTACCTATTCTGGACAATTCATATAAGTAAAATCTTACAATAGGTGATCTTTTGTGACCGGTATCTTTCACTGCATTTGTTTCAAGGTTCATCCATTTTGTAGCATGCATTGGTACTTTATTGCTTTTTATTGCCAAATAATATTCCAGCTTATTGATATATCACACTTTGTTTATGTATTCATCAGTTTATGGACATTTGGGTTGTTTCCACGTTTTAAATGTTGTGAATAACACTGCTTTGAATATTTGTGTTTCTGTGTGGACAAATATTTCATTCTTAAGCATGTACCTAGGGATTGATAGGTCATATGGAAATTCTGTTTAACATTCTAAGGAATGGCCAAACTGTTTTCCGAAGTGGCTGCATAGTTTTACATTCCTACTAGAAATGGATGAGGGTTACAGTTGCTCCACATTCTCACCAATACTTATTATTGTTGCATTTGCTTTTGAAATTAATTTTACAGTGTTGTGGTTTTTACAACTTTAAAATATTTCCTGAAAGTTTCTCACTAACCTGGAGTTTACTCAATGTCATCAAGTCTATAGGGAAGTTAAAGATGTTGGTATACCTGGATATGTCAAAAAACAGAATAGAGACTGTTGACATGGACATTTCTGGATGCGAAGCCCTGGAGGACCTCTTACTGTCATCCAATATGTTGCAACAGTTGCCTGACTCTATAGGTGAGAACATAATATTTTGTTATCAATGTTTATGTCAAATATACTGTTTTTATTTTTAGCAGTATAGTTTGTTTGCAGATGTAGGGAATATACTGTTAGCCTGATATTAAAAATTAGCATAGTCATCCAACATGAAAAATTATTTTACCAATATTTTAGAATGAAATGGTAACTCTAGCTGTCAAAATACTCTCCTATTACAATGATCTTACTAAACTGACATACTTTAAATAATTTTAGATCTACTAAGTGTTAAAGTGTTATTAAAAGGAGTATTTATCCTAGATTTAAGTACTATGTATGTCTTCTTTTGTCACCATAGAATTACCAGTAGCATGGGCTTCATTGGTGGCTCAGATGGTAAAGAATCTGCCTGCAATGCAGGAGAACCTGGTTCGGTCTCTGGGTTGGCAAGATCCTCTGGTGAAGGGAATGGCTACCCACTCCAGTATTCTTGCCTAGAGAATCCCATGGACAGAGGAGCCTGGCAGGATACAGTGCATAGGGTTCTAAAGAGTCAGATATGACTGAGCAACTAGCACTTTCTATCCACAGTTTTGCTCTATTTTGCTTTAATTTTATTGTAACCTTGCTCTAATAGTTCTATTATTTAAAAATGACATCTCATCTTTTGCATGCTGTCAAGAGTTATAAGAGCAGAAATTTGTCTGTTAATATATATTAACTACTCAATCCTTTTTAGTCATAAATTTTTATCTGAGTAACAATGAAAGAATCTAAATAACAGGTAAACTTTTGTATAGATATCTTACTGTTATTATTTATGAGGGGACACAGATAGGAGAGTAATCATCAAACTAATTTTGGAATATAGTCTTTGACACTCCTTGAATTGGATGTATCATATGTCCTAGAACATATTAATGCTTCCAAAAATTAAATCACAAGCGAAAATTTTTCTCCAATTTTTGTTGTTTCCATTTTCACTATTCTTTTAGGTTAATAGAGAATACTACTTTTAACAGAACAGATTAGTTTTTCTTTCTTTGTAGATTTGATGATATTTTTATTTATATAGTTATATATTTTTGTGACAGTGTTTTTTCAACTTACTCCTCTGTAAGACTTATCTTAAGCTTAATTAAACACTTTCACATTTCCAGGCTCTTTCTGTGAAAATTCTGACCCCATAAGTATGTAATAGGCCCTCTGTTCTGCATTCTTATTAATTATCTTAGATCAAATTTATGATCAGATAAGGTTAGAAAATACTATTTTATAGTACTTCCCATTATATCTATAGTACTTTCCATTATAACTATAGTACTATAGTTGTAGAAAGTAAGGAAATATACTGGTGTAAAAGAGCATCCTCTGATGAAGATGCTAGAGATGATCATCTGGTCAAGATAGTCATCTGGTCAAAATACATTTCTTACTTTCCTTACTCAAAAACCACTCCGTATCTTCAAAGGCATAATGAGAATTTAAAAGCTATTTATATTAGAAGAACATAATTTTCTTTATTACTGTCTTCTCCATACAAAGAATTATGGGTGGTATATGGTAAGTACTCCTTAAGTATTGAGTCAATAACATAATTTAGCTCTGCTTAAAGAGAATGAGCATATACCTGGAACTGAGATATAATGGAAACACAGGAATGCTTACAGACACGATAGGCTCCAGACCACAAATAGAAGTGGTAGCCATAAATTCTGATCCTGAGTGGTTTAAAAAAAAAAAAAAAACCCTTAAGCATAACAGGAGAATATGAATTTACAGGGATTGAGGAAGGAAACGCTTTTCTGCTAAGAGAGGCTGAAGATCCTAGAGCTAGGATGAAAGGAGAGAACAGACACAAATTCAATACTGAAAATTACAGCACATTACCAGCTGCTTTGGACTGAATTTGCAATATCCAGGTTGAATGAGAGCACTAAGTTGCTAATTTAAGACTTGGTTCTAAACCCCGGAAACTTGAGGGTCAGGTGGAAGTAACCAGTGTCAGACATGGAGGAGTGAACATAGGTAAGAAAATATCCACTGACACAAATGGGCATGAACACAAATACTTTAAAGGAAAACTAACGCTAAAACAACTCAAACAATAGAAATTTTACCCCATGGGAAACCAAAGTTATCAAGCAAGTTAAAAAATTATTTTAAGTATGTGTAGATTCTCAAATAAATAAAAGGAAGAACAATATTTATAAAAATAATAAGAGCTTACAAAACAGGAGTGATGACGAAGAACAGGTGGTTATTAAAAAAAAAGAACCAATTAGAAATTCTGGAAATGAAGAGGTCACATAGTGAAATACAAGATGATGTTTTGTTTAAAATATCCTCTGTTAAGAAAATGGACTAGGGAGTTAGCCTTCCAGTCTGGGGGAAATAGCCTGTACAGATGATAGAAAATACCAGATTAGATGCTTGGCTGGCATGAAGCAGACCAGTGCAGGCAAGTTGTATTATGTATTTAAAATCTTCATTTAGAATCTGTGCATGCACGTGTGCTAAGTCGCTTCAGTCATGTCCGACTCTTTGCGACCCCATGGACTGTAGCCCACCAGGTTCTTCTGTCCATGGGATACTCCAGGCAAGAATACTGGAGTGGGTTACCATGCCTTCTTCCAGGGGATCTTCCCAAGCCAGGGATCAAACCCGCATCTCTCTGTCTCCTGCTTTGGCAAATGGGTTCTTTACCACTAGCGCCACCTGGGAAGTGAGCAATCCTCAAATTAAGAAGGTAACTTTGTCAGTAGCTTCCAGCTGGAATTATCTTTGGACCCTATTGACCTTTTAGGGAAAATTACATTTATTCATCTGCAGAGTTGCCAGAGTACCTGATTTGTATGTGTAGAAAGGCTGGCTTTCCTTGAAAATTTTCCTTTTTGGTCAAGAGAAATACCTGGGAACTCTGTTCAAGGGTCCTAAAATAATTTATTGATTCTGATTGGATGGTAAATTACACCTTTATTTGAACCTGAGTTGTCTATTGGACTACCAACATTTAAATGAATAAAAGACAAGAAACGTCATAGTATTATTAGTAATAAAAGGAAATAGCAACTAAAAATCTTTAGTTCCTTTACACCTATTTTAGCTGTGGGGTATTTGAATGGAGTTATATATTCAACAAACAACCCAGTATGCTGAGTCTCTTTCAATGTGCTGGTTCCAGGGAAAATGAAGAGGACTTTATGTTTTCTGGGTAGAGCTTTAATAATCAGCTTCTTTGGACAGCAGAGAAATTCAATAAAGGAGAATATATATATACATATATATGTATATTATATATATTTACTTTCCAAAACAATTTATCTTATTCACTTAGTGGTTAAAGACACAGGTTTTGCAGTCAAGTTGCCTGAATTTAGAGTCTAGCTTTTCTACCTTACTAGCTGTGTGACCTTATTCAAGCTACTTAATCTCCCTGTGCCTCAGTTTTACCATCTTTTACATTGGAAAGTAATAGTACCTGCATCAGGGAATTATTTTGAGAAATAATGAATTAATATATCCAAAATTGCTTAGAATAGAACTTAGTATACAGTAAATGTTCAATCAATGTTAGGTACTATGATAATATAATAATTATTATAATCTTAGACTTGATGAGTACACAGCAATTTGGCTTTCAAAATTCTAATATAGAGTGTAAATGTCATATAAATATTAGCTATTTTTATAACAAATTATATTAATGTTTATTATACTGCTGCTTATTGTGTATTTATATGAAAGTAGCCAGAATCATAGTAAAAAACCTCCTTTTCCTTTCTCTGAAGTATATCTGAATTGGGAACATAAGATAAAGAGGTGGAGAACTGAGGAAGAACTAGTATAAAATACCTTTGGTTCCTGAGGGTAGAAGGCAGTCCAAACATATATCAATAGCAAGACAGTAAAGGAAATATCTGTCAGAGGAAGTCATGAGTAACAGAGCTGAGGTTGATGGCCTATTTCTATTCCAAGAACAACCAGATTACTACAGAAGTTCTGGAATCTGTCCAGAGAGCACACCCTTGTATGGAATGTATGAATGACAAAGTAGCCATATCGCAAATGAATGATGGTCCCTTTAGCTCACATATGTGCAGCAAAGGAAGGAGCCCTAACTTTGCTTCAGCATTTAAAGTTGTAGAAAGAAAGTGAAGTTGTTCAATCATGTCTGACTCTTTGCAACCCCATGAACTGTATCCTACTAGGCTCCTCTGTCATGGGATTTTCCAGGCAAGAGTACTGGAGTGGGTTGCCAAAAGTTGTAGAAGCTTCTGTCAAAGATCCATTATTTCATAAAAATCTGTTGCATCAATCTTTTGACCTTAATCCCTATCCTGCCTCAAGATTTTCACACCACTACTTCAGACCTGGGGACTGTGATTCTCTTAAAGACTGCTTGGCAACCTGGCTTCAAGATGCTTGCACAGCCCTCTGTAACCCAACCCAAACCTTCTCGTAACCCAGCCAAGTGATGTGGAAACTGTCAGCCCTCCTCTGGCTCCACCTGTGGACAATAGTTTGATCACAGCTACAGTTCATAAAGAATTCAGTTGTAATTCATGGTCCTGTGTTTTCTTTTCACAACTGATGAGCAAGCTCAAGTGTTCTTTTACATTTCCAAGGTTGATGGTTTTTTACATCTACAGTAGAGAAGCTAATGTAATTCAGTCGCCCTCTGAGCATAGATGAATAGGCAATGGGTGTTCAAATTTCAGAGATAAATTTCCCCAGTGAGAATCGTCCTCTTTCCCAGGTGCTACTGTTTTCAGCCATGTATCATAAGGGCACAAGCTGATGTGTTAATCTCCAAATATTGTAGGCATTTTCTCACAGCAGTCTGATAGTGATGACACTTCTCTTCACTAGAGATTCTGCGTGCTTTGGTAGACTATGTAATTGAGCATGCTGAAACTTCAAATGCAACAACAGCTTTATTTCTGACTTCTTGTGACTTACTTTTTGCCTTTAAGCTATGCTCAAAATACTTGAGGTGGGTAGGAATGAGCTGTAACAGCACTTCTCAGAGCATGTTTATGAAATACCACTGTACAAGATACTCTGCACACACACAGAAGTTCCACAATAACTTTAGAGTCACCCTGCTACATTAGTATATCAAAAGTTCCTTAACGTTTTTCGTTAAAGAAATCTGGTTGATTTTGTTTAATTCAGCATTCCCCAAACACATTTGACCATGGAACCTACTGTATCTGTCAGAACAAGTTTTCTGCAAAACATTATGTAAAACCAAAATCAGCCACTGTTTATGCTTTGCCTCGGATTTTGGCTATTTAGGCCATATTGATACCCTGGGTTCTGTTACGGCTGGGTAAAGGAAGCTGTTCTTCTATTACTCTGAAGTTTTTGCTTATTAATACCTGAGAATAGGAGTAGATAAAGCAGGAAGTTTATGAAGGGCATAAATTAGTGAAATATGAATAGTTGAAATGCCAATTATTAGCCAGTTCTACTTGATATATTAAAAACTGAGGGGTCTTGTGTTTACTACTGATCCCAGGCAAGGACTTACGGTAACTGAAAGGTATGAAATTATATGTTGTAATTTTCTAAGTCCATAATTATAACCACTACACTGCAGTGCTTCAGTACCCATTCATTGATTATTAGGCTTAATTCAGATTTGTTTTCAATTTGTACCACAACAGGAATGTTAGTTATTAGTGCTTATGAGTTAATTAAATATTGAGTCACAGCTGGCTTGAAAACTTTCATCTCGTCCATTTGTATAATAGAAAAGGAAAATGTGGTAGCAGTACCGCCAACTCAGGTTTCTGTGGAACCCTATGTTTTCCTTATTGTCTCCATTGTACTTGAACTCCCACTGATGTAAGTAAAGTTTTTACAACTTGCAGGTCAGAACTAGACAGGAGAATATAAGTTTGTAGGTTGATATAAGCAGAGTGCAGCCAATTAGCATGACAAACATTCATCACAATTATATTGTGATGTGTATTGTATTTTATATATTGTATTTTCTATCAGTAATCTGTTCATGTGTATTAATATATCTTCTCTGTTTTAGGGTTGTTGAAAAAGCTAACTACTCTAAAAGTAGATGACAATCAACTTACGATGCTACCCAATACAATCGGAAAGTAAGTGCCCAAGTTTCATACCAGTCTGCTTCTCTAAAGCCAGAGACAAAAGAATATATTGAGTTTTCTACTTTAACACAGTTTCCACTGGAGATCTCAACAATTTTGTTCATATTTAAACTTGTTTTAGACCACATTTTATTTACTTATATATTTATCTATAATATCTCAATTTAGTTTTATATGTGGGCATTACATTGACACCCAACTATATAATATGATAAGAAATACTTGACCATTGCCCCTTCACAAGCAAAGTGATTACCCAGACCTTCAATTATATCATTGCCTGTAATTTTCCCGATACTACTAATTTGGATGCTTTTGACTGAGTAGCAGCTCTAAATTCACTTGAATGTCTTACAAAATCAAATCAATTTTTATAAGATCTGCATTATGTATATGTTACCATTACGCTGTTAGTAAAATTTTATATTTATAGAGACTTAATGTATTTTTTGACTTAAGGAAATAAACATGTTTTAGCTTGCATAAAAAGCTTTAAGGTAAAAGATCATTGTTGCCTTTTAAGAAAAAAATATATTCCATTTATCTGAAAGTGATTTATTTCTAATTTTATCTTGTAATTACTGTTTGACTTACGGTTCTTTAAGAAATGTATGTATGCTATTATCAATGTTTCATTGGAATTATTTTGTTTACAACTTCTGTAAAGTGAGAAATCCATAGCTGTCTTCATTCTAAGATTATGTAAGGCCATTTTATAGGAATCTTGTCCCACATTTCATGTGAAGAATTACATAAATCCACATTTTTAACATATTTGGGTATCCTTGGGATGGGGAGAAGGCTTTTTTAAAAAAACAGTTTTATTAGACATGACTGATGTGTAATAAACTGCACATATTTAAAGTCTACAGTTTGATGTTTTGATATTCATATAAAGCCATGAATGGAAGTTTTAGGGAAATGGACTATAATACTATGTTTTATTGCAATAAAAAGGAGAATTTAAAAAAGCAGTAGGAAGTATATGAGAAATCTCTACCTTCTGCTCAGTTTTGCTGTGAACCTAAAATGGCTATAAAATTAAAACCTATTTTTAAAAAAGGAAGAATGACTGACAGACTATGGTTAGTCAGACTTGGGTATTTGGCAGTATTTGTGGCCAACAGTGAAATTTGAGCTATCAAGCAAAAGTTGAAATTTTGACAGATTTGTATCTGCCACTATAAGTTTGATGGCTTCCATATATTTAAAGGCTTTTCTGATATCACTGGTGTGATAATGAATGTGATTTATTGGGGTTGTCTATGAAATGCATCACATTTGGAAAACCTGTTTAATTCTGTAAAGCAACATTTTCCATGACCAATTCTTAAGCTACAAAATCACACATGAGGAATAGACTCATTCAAAGTGCAAAAGGATTAGTTGATGTTAATGTATTGGTATGAAGAGTAAGAAAAGTTCACTTATGTTTTCAGATTCCATATTGCAATTACTGTATCCCCTAAAAAACCACCACTTGTTGAGTTTTGGTGTAGTATCAAAGAATAGTCACAATTATCCAAAAAGACTATGAAAATACTCCTCCCTCCCTTTTCCAACTACATATCTGTGTGAGATTGGAATACATATATATATATATATATATATATATATATATATATTAAACTTAATCGGAATAATATACAGCAGCATATTGAATACAAAAGCAGATATGAGAATCCAGTTACCTTCTATTAATCTAAACATTGGAGAGATTTGAAAAAATAAAGCAATGTCACTCTTTTCACTAAATGTTTTTGTTTTGGAAATATAGATACATTGTAAAAATATGTCACCTACATTAACATGTCATGGATTTATTGTTATTTAAGACTGAATAATAATTATTTTTAAATGCCTTTTTTAATTTATAATATGATAGATGCAATAGATATAAACCATATAAACAAAAGTACTTTAGGGTTACCAGTGATTGTTAGGAGTGTAAAATGATCCTAAAAGGAAAAATTTTGAAGATTTCAGTTCTACAATACATTTTTTGGTTGGTAAAATTATGACAGTCATTTTCTCACTTACATTCTCACTTCAATGGAGCACTTGTGCAAAACATAAGCCAAATCTAAACTTTTATAATACACCTTGATAAGCAATCTTCATGAAGTAAAAATAATAGTGATACAGTGGCTTTGCTTTCCTTAGAGAATTCAGAACTGATAGATCAGAGGTTTAGCTCAAGGCTAGAGATAAATTTGATTAGAACACTATTTAATGTCACCCCAGGTCACATGCAGAAAGTATTTTGTAAGTGGTGGAACAGTTGGTGGTGGTGTTCAGTCGCTCAGTTGTGACTGACTCACTGCAACCTATGGAGTGCATCACACCAGTCTTCCGTGTCCTTCTCTATCTCCGGAAGTTTGCTCAAACCCATGTCCAGTGATGCCATCCAACCATCTCATCCTCTGTCATCCCATTCTCCTCCTGCCTTCAATCTTTCCCAGCATCAGGGTCTTTTCCAATGAGTCAGCTTCAGGTGACCATCACCCCTTTGCATCAGGTGGCCAAAGGGTTAGAGTTTCAGTTTCAGCATCAGTAGAATAGTCTGTGTTTTATTATGAGACATTCTGTGTAGAACTCTGCTCACCAAAATGTTAAGATCATCTGCAGTGAGCAAAATATTCCCATTCTGAATGTAGAATGTTTCATAGATTAATCTTTGGTAATTTTTAATAGTCCAACTAGTAAAAATTGCTGAAAGAATTCAGCTGTCTTTCACAGCTGAAATAGATTCCATGACTTTTGTGCCAAATGACTTGTAAAATTGGTTATTTTTGTTGTCAAATCTTAAGTTGTACCTAGGAGTTCCAGCCATTCTAAGAACTGAATGTGCAATTAAAATACTAATAAACAACTTTTTGTTTGTGTTCACATTGTGCCAGATACCATGTTTGGTGCTTTACATGTATTCTTATTTAAAGACCCCATCAACACTATTTGATGTGTATTATTTTCTCCCCATTAACAGATGCAAAAACAGAGGCTGAGAGAAGTTATCAGATCTCAAAGCTAAACTGTTAATTGACCTATGATGCTTCTTAATATATGCGATGGTTGAGTCACATATTTTTCAATATTTGGTCATTTAAGAGCTCCATTGTTCTAAGGGCAAGGGAGCTTCCATAGCAAGAGAAACTACACTAAGCCTTCTCTCTGTTAGCTTTGTAGTTTTGGAGAAAAGCAATGAAAGCTCAAAAATTTGAATGGATATTTTAAAAAGTCATTCCATCATAGCGTATGGTCAAAGAGAAAGTCTTCGGAAAATTTAATAACTGTGCAAAGCTGGATAAATCATTTCTTTCCTGTGGGCCTCTGACTGCTGAGGGATAATGCAAGGAGCACTGGCTTTGGAGTCCAACAGCATGGGTGTGATCCCTCGCTACGCCACTTAACTATGTGAACTTGGATAAGTTATTTAAATTTTCAGTAGCTTAGTTTCTTCATTTGTAGTTTCTGCCTATGTCTAAAATTCTAATTCTTTGATCTAGATGTTTAGTTTATATAACATTAATACCCTAGATGGTAAATTCCAGTAGTCCACTTACTAGACTGCTATAATGACAAGAAAATAAGCGTTCTAGGTACCTGAATGCTAAAAACTGTGCTTCCCTCTATTCTCTAATCATAGAAAGATACACAAGGAACTAGAAATGTACATAACTTTGGGAGGAGAACTTGGGGGCTGGGCAATAGAGTAAACAGGAGATTTCCTTTTATTGTATCCCCAGTGTAGTTCTTAACATGTAAAGTTATTCTAGTCAAAAACTTAGAGAGCGTACACACACACACAGAGATACACACACACACACTTCATTTGATAAAACCCAAATTCCTTCACACTAATATTCAATTCTTTCCATACTCTAGTATAGATTGGTGAGTCTCAACATGTGGTCCCCTGACCAACATCATCAACTCCAACTGGGAGCTTGTTAGAAGGAATTCTCAGAGACAGTCTCAGATCTATTGAATGAGAAAGTCTGGACATCATACCAGCAATCTGTGTGTTAACAAGATGTTCCAGGGATTCTGATGCATGCTAAAGTTTAAGAACCAATATCTGGATTCAGCTCCTTAAACAGCTATCAGATAACTGTCTTCTCAAACCCTATTCCATTGTGCCTGCATCAGAATTATTTGAGATGCTGGTTTAAAACAAAGCTACCTTAAACAAGCTTACATAATGGTTGGCTGCTTTGGCTCTGGAGCCAGACCTTTTGGGTGCAAAATCTGGCTTTTCAATGTACTATTGGGTGGATAGCCTTAGATTCCTCCTCCGTAAAATGGAAATGATAATAATGCCTACCTCATGAGAATGTTATGAGAATTAAATGGAAAGTACTCATGTGTTCAATAAATGATTCTTAAAAATAAAATCTAATAAGGTAAAGTTATTGACAAATCAAATTGGGGGTATTTGAAATCAAAAAATATGTTTAGTTGTTTTGCTACTTAATTCTTCTCCTTCTGCCCACCCATACCACTGCAGCTTCCTGCTCAGTATACCTACTAAATGAACCAGCATTTTCTAAATTTAATTCCTCAAAACAGTCATTACTTGAGATTTTGATAGGTATGACATAAAAATAAGCTTCATGGACAAATAAGTTTAGGGAACTCTTTACACAAGTTAGAGAACACTCTAATGTGATATTTTTCCATTTCTTATGTTGGTCTCTTATTTATCTTTTGCATCATCATTTAACTTTTCAATTATAATATCATGCCTTCCCAACTGGAATATGTACTCCTTAATGGTTGATAACATGTCTTGAACATGTTTAATCCCTTCACAGGGAAATATTTGCAAACCTTAGAGCTAGACTGGCTTCTCCATTCATTAACTAATTGATCTCGGGCATGTCAAATCACATCTCAGAGCTGCAGTTTTCTCATCTGTAAAAGGGAAGTAATAATACATCTCAGAGGTTATTGTCAGACTTAATGTTAGATAGCCTTCAACAAATCATAAT